GTAAGACTTCCGTGCGTGGAGGAGAGCACAACCGGGACCCGGTCACGTGTATTGTCTCCCGCCTGGTCCTGGGTGTATGTCTGGAAGTTCTCTTTCTTGAAGTGGTCGGGCCCCAGGTGTGGTATGTGAATGGAGACCCAAGGCGAGGGGTAGACCCCGGATGTTCTGCATGAAGCTGTGTTGTTTTCGCAAGCGGTTCTTCCCAGCTGGCCTGCGGCGCGCAAGGCACTGCCTGATTCGGCGGCCAGTCGTACGCTGTATTTTGCGGAGAATGTTCCTCGACTGCAAGCTGCGAAAGAGGTCCAGGCACAGAGCTAGACACCAGGGAAACACCCAGATCACGAGTGGCATAAGTAGTTGAGCTGTTGCCAGGGCTGTCTAGAGGGTGCTCCTCGTGCGAAGGCCGCGAGAACAGATCCAGGAACGGAGTTGGGCTGCGGGACTGCATGAGCCTCTGGTAATGAGGCGCGATTGAGAATTTGCGCTTGCAAAGAAGCTTAAGACGACGCCTAGTCGAGGCCTCAGTCTTGGGCCAGGCAGTCTTTGGAGATTCTGTCCGTGGTGTTGGTGTCGTTTCGCCGCTCTGTGGTTGTTGCGGTTGGTGCACGGAGGATGTGAAAGGTCGTGCAAGCCTGTATCGCTTCCTTTCCCACGATCTCTTGGCCTCTCTAGCAACCCGGTGTGTCACACCGAGCGGGGGAATACTACCAGGCGTCATTTTGAAAGGGGTGATGGTCGGATCTTGTATGTATAGCTGATAAGTATTCCAGAGGTGGTTGTCCATATCCAGAGTCCACCGTTCTCTCTTGGGACAGCCGCGATTCGCTCTCTTGTGGTTCGTCGTAGCCACGGATGGCTTTTCCGCCATCTGCTTCGGCGGAATCTCGAGGTAGAAAAAGGGATCATAACTGTCACTTTCTGCGCTGGTGCAACTTCCACCCACGGAACGCCGCGAGGCGAAAGTTTCACATGAGGAAATTGAGGAGTCAGATGCCTGGGAACAGGCAGACCCAGGGCGCTGCAGCGACTGTCCGATAGCTTGAGAGTCCCACGAAGGCCATCCATCGGTAGGTTCAGACGGACTGCCGCGGATCTGGGCCGGGGGTGTCTTCAGGGCCATTCGGTCACGCGGAGGCGCCAGGAAGCGATCATCTTTGGCAGTGGATCCAGGGTATGACTGAGTTATAGAAGCGTCATGCGACGGAGGTAACTCAATAGAAGGCAGTGGGATGTCCGATGGGTTGGCGGTAAGCGTGGTGCGATCGTACTCTGCCTGCGCGAAGAGGTCGGTCCCCGAGCGAATGCGCGATCTTCGTAAGCGGCAACTCGAATGGCGAGGAGGTGGAGGTGGTCCGTCCACATGAATGGATGCACGTTCGGGCGTCCGAGGCTCTTCGGTGCCTGCGGAATAAAAGGTGAAGTTCTTCGGCAAGGTGCGCGACAGCCCATGCTGTCGGTAAGCCATGGCGTGGGTGTCCGGGTCGCTTTGCAGTACGACCAATAGAATAGGGCAACGATTGTCGTTTGTATTCTCTTTAGTTCTGATCGGTACCCCTAAGCGAATATCATTGCGCTCGCGCGAAGGTGTTATCCAGTAAGTCTTTTTGAGTGTCGGACCGCAGGCGCGGGCTTCGGAATCGTCGCAGACTGCTTCTCACTCTCAATTGCTGCGCGATACTATTCCGAGGAACAGTAAACTTTGCAGAAGCGCAAATACAATCGCAATCAATTGTGGGATCCGTTTCGATCAATTGTTGAACGTCTTCGGTCAACAGTGGGCGGGACAGGAGGGTTTCGTAAGTCGTTAGGCAAAGCAACAGAACAAAAAAAGGAGATGAAGCTCGTCAAGGTGTGAGTGGTCAGAGTAAGGAAAAGCGATCGAATTTGTGTGCAAGGGTTAAGCTGATGCGATAATGCGCACGAGAAGTTGGTTGCGACTCAAGCTCGTTGGAGTAGCAGCTGTGGTAGCAATGGCGGTAGTAGTAGTATCACATCGAACGGTTCCCGCGGTCCATTGGGCATTTGGCAGGTAATGGAGAGCGAAGTCGTCATTTACACCCGAAAGGGGACACACAAAAACGCCAGACCAACACAAAAGAAAAGCAAGGAAAAGGAAAAGTACGAAGAGACGGGAATTATGCGAGCAATGTGCTCGCAGGTAGAAACAGCAGTAGGGGGGTGCAGGAAGGAAAAGTGAGGGAGAGAATCGGAGAGAGAAGAGTAGTAGTAGGAGTAGGAATAGGAACTGTAGGTGTAGGAGAGGGCTGGTAAGCGGTAATAATACCAAACGGCGCAGTAGCTGAGGTACCCCCAAGGCACCGCAATATTAAGTAGCGAGTACTAACAGCAGTACCTAAGGTATGTACCTAAGCTAGCTTAGGGGAAAAGCAAGCGACGCCTCAGGCTCACAGTGGTTAGGTGCAGTCCAGGGCCTCAGGGATAGTGGTTCCACTCCTGCAAAATCAATCAATCAATCAATCACTCTGAATAGACTTGGGAATATAATGAACACGTCAAGGATAATGCTCCTAAAAGATGGATTGATGATCTTGAAGATCAGAGAAAAAGATGTTTCTGCTGTTGTTCTGCTGTTCTATCTATCTACGTGGTGTCAGGTATGCGGCACCATAACATGATCCTCAGACATCAACAGCATCATTCTGACTTCTCTGGAATGCGGAGAATTGTCTCGTGATTTGTGTTTTGCAATTGATGTCTCGTTCTCATGTTCATATGATTTCTATTTATCGTATCTCCTTGATTCTGTCTTGCAAACGTGGTATGTTCTGACTCTTCTACTCCAGAAGACTGACTTGTACTATCCATAGTTCTACCGGAATGGAGACATTAAAACTCAGTCATTGGACTGTCTTATATCCGAAAGATCAGTCGGTCAGCATTCAGAACCGCCTCACCGCACCCGACGATGCTCTATGGACAGTCAGAGGCCCGACAATCTGAGAAATTCCCCCTGCTCGACAAATGGCAGTCGTCCTGATGGAGTAGTTTCTCCCACTAAGCCAGTCGAAATGCTCCTAAGTTTGCTAATTCTAGTGTGATGGCTTGGTCCTCCTGTGAACTTCTGGACCCCGCGAAGTCTGCAATCACTATTTGCTGATTCATTTACTGCTTTAACTGCAAGGGTGCGACTATTAATATTAGGATGCACGCGGGATGTGGGTGAATCATCAACGTCTTTCCACCTTTTTGACCTGGAGAGCCGACTGGAAACATGGATCGGTACACCAACTCAACTGATGACATTAACTCTTGTACAGAACGATATCCAATTGAGCGGTCTAGAGAGGTATCCTAGCCCAGATCACTAATGAGGAGGAAATTCGGTGGCTGGGAGAAACCCCCCGGCTCATACCGCCGGGCCCAAATCCCAAGGAAAAAGACAGTCTCAACCTTCCCGATTCAAGCCCTTCTAGCGCTGGGTTCGTTTCAAACTTTCAGAAAAATTCGAAAGTCAAACTCCAGTCTCCTGCAGAAGTGGTTTCTCCACCACCAGACGGACGAACCACGACGTGAACATGGGCTGAACGTGCATTAGTCACTGTCTCCAGACTCCCACGTACCTACTTGCAGCGACGGAGACAGAAACGCGACTAACCGCCTCACAAGCTGGGTAGCAATCACTACTACATACTCCTTTTTCCCTGCAGTGGTCAGTATCTTTGGTAAGGAGTATACGATGGTCAACTGAAGTCGAAATAAACTACCACAAAGAGCAGAAGCTTCATTGATGGGGACAATCAACAAAGAATTGCAGTAGACTTTGTTCACTTGTACCTGTGGACCAGAGACTGTCACTATCACTATCACTCGCTTATCGGACGGCTCAGACCAACGCGTCAGGGAGGGGTAAAGAACGCGTCTGGACGCGTCTACTACGCGTATCCGCGCGCATGGTAAATTACCGTATCGTGCACGTCGACTGCGTAGTAAAAAGAGAGGAGCAAACTTATCAATCTCTAGTCATCTGCAGACTGGAGCATTTGCTACTCCCAATAGTCAATACCGAGAAGTGGTCTGTCTTTGTCTTTTTGTTCCTGGCTACGCTTGTGGAGCTACAGACAGACTACAGAGGTTCCATTCTATTCTGGGAACAAAGAACCCCATACGGAGTACGGAGTACTCCATACCTTACCTAGTCTGAATCATAAGCCAGCTAGAGCCAAAGCTAGAGCTAAGCTAGATCCTGAATCTGATTTCTTTGTTCTTCCTTGGCTTATATTAAGAATCTCGGGATTCGGAAAGACCCAGCTCTGATCTGCTGAGCCTGAGATCCGTGCTCTATATTTCCATGGAACGAACTGCTCGGGATAAACCTAGACTTCGCTACGAACTTATATCGGGATCAGCCATGACCATAGCATACTTGAGATCATGGACAGTAGTACTTGTAGTTGATATCAACCATCAACATCAACCTTGTTGAATCTTTAGAAAAGACTTACTACTTGCATGATCCTGCTGTTCCCTTGCGTCCACCACTGGCGACTCGCCGACGCATGTACCTCGGCATTGAGTCATGCTGATTGCTGACGTGCTGTAGCACGACGCTGCAGTGATTCAGGTCGCGCATGAAATCATGGATATGTGCTTAATTGAGTTTGATTTTTACTTTTGTCCGGTTGATGGTGATATTCTAGCTGGGTAGGGACAGTTGTTGGTTAGCTTGATCAAAGGTTATGTTGATTTGGAGTGGACGTATTGAACGTGCTACTGCTTAGGTAGCAAAGAATGTTTTCCTTGCTACGTGCGTCTGCTGGAGAACCGAATCCTTACATGAGCTGATGTGTTGTGGTCTCTGCCGAGTCATGAAAACAGGTTCAGCTGCAGTTTCCAACAGCACCGCACGAATAGTGAGAATGGGATGTCATCGTACGTGCCTTATGTACAGCTAGTAGGTAGGACATGATATGGGACAAGATATGTGCGTGTTGCCATACCTCGTACGGAGTACCATACATATGGTTCTGCCATGCTCTCCACTAGACTGACGGACTATCCGTTGGCAACTCCCCCAGCTTCGATAGATCAATCTCCGGTGTTCGTGCCTTGTAAAGCAGCTTCACATTTGGGTCGCAGATGATCTCGGTGCCGTGCATGAGCGACTGGGGACGTCCGCGGTCCTCTGCAAACTTCCAGTCGTATTTCATCAGCAGGTGGATCAGGAGGATTTTGACCTCGTTCGCGGCGAAGAATCGTCCGGGGCATGCGTGCAGACCGTGTCCAAAGGCAAAATGCTCGTTGCTCGTCGTGACGAACTGGTACCGGTGCTCATTGCCGGGCACTTTGCGTTTGTTGTAGAAGCGGTAGCCGTCGAAGGTGTCCGCGTGGGGGTAGATGGATTCATCGTTCATGGTGTGAGCGGAGATGACGAGCATTGCTCCCTTGGGAATAAAGGTGCCATCGGACAGAGTGATGTCTGCCAGCGCGTAACGCTGGAGGGAGGCTGGAAGAGTCAGCGCTATGGGCCCAGGAGCCCTCGGGTAGCTATCACTTACCAATGCTGACAGGGTTCAGCCGCTGGGTTTCCTTCATAAAGCTATCCATCAGCTTCAGCTTGGTAAGGCTGGTCTTCTTCAGACATCCTTCCTCCTTCACGACGGCAACAATCTCGTCCCGGAGGGGTTGGATGTATTCTTGGTAAGCTATCAAGTCGTACATGACGTTCGTCAACAGGTTGGAAGTAGTGTGGATCGCTGCCAGAGAAAGACTGATCTGGCTTTTCGTCATGTCATACGGGCGGCCGGCAGCAACTTCCCTGAACCAGTCGAGGGCATCGTCGGGCTTTAGAGGACTGTATTCCAGGAGCTTGCCTTGCCGGATCAGTTCTCGCTTTTCGATCTCCTTCTGCACGATCTTCTTCGCAACGCTAATGTGCTTCCGCACTCTTCGTGTTGACGGCAGGAACCAGTGCACCAGAGATTGCGTAATCGAGGGCCAGAGTCTGAGATCGCGCGCAGCGCCGAATGCGTCGATAGTGTAGTTGACAGACACATGCAGCCATTCCTTGTCACGGCAGACCTTCTCTCCCATAAATACAAGGGACGACAATCGGGCAACTATGTATGGAATCTCCTGAGCGAAGACCAGGGATTGCCACTCTGCTGTCATGTCAGAAAGGGCAAATGTGCCTACTGGAAGGACATACCATCAGATTTCGGAGGCAATGTCTCCTTGAGCACAGCCGCGGACTCTCTGGAAAGAGAGATAGTAAGGCTACCTGCACGGTTGAGTTAGCAAGAGGCACCTCTGCAGCACACACCAACGTCACATACCAAGCGTATGAGTTAGCTTTTTGTTGATGACGTCCAAGGCGATGCCTTCCTTGTCCAGTCCGAAAGGCTCGAACCCGGGAAGCTTGGCGCCAAAAAAGGCCTGCATTGTCAGCACAACTTCGCTATTGGCAGCCTTAGACCCTCACCTTCCTATTAGCTTCGTCGAAGGTCAGATGCGGATGGCTCTTGATCTCATCCATGTACCGCGGGTGCAGGACGATCATGGGAGAGTGAGAGAACATCATTTGAAAGACAGTCTTGCCCTAACCCAATGTCAGCTCCTCGAACATATCGAGCAGGACACATGCTCATACCTGGCTGAAGCCTTGTGCAAAGAGGGCTTTCGCGGACGCCACGAAGCGCTCTTTGGCTTTGCTGTTAGTGATTTCCCATCTGCTCCTCCCAACAAGGGGTATGTTCCGGTAGGGAAAGCCATCCACAAGCTTCCGATAAAAGTTCGACACAACCACCAAAAGCAAGGACACAGCGATGCCTTGGAGAAAGTATGGGCTTTGGAGCAATTCGGAGATCAACGCCATGTTGATTGTTGATTGCTCTGAGATCCGTGGTGCAGCAGGAAAGGAGGAAAGAAAATGACCACGCCACTGCAGTGGTGAGGTATATATGAAACCCCACTGCCTTCGCTGAGCTCTATAGGCCCTATACAAAGCAGGGTTGCCTCTATATGGATGCACGGGTATCTGTAGTTCCGTGCGGGGACTCATTCACAGAATCCGTCGGATACGACATGAGCATTTATCCGTTGCACTGGTCTATCTGTAGCGAGCTCATTGCATCCCCTCAGCTCCTGTCTCATCGTTAATATCCGGCAGGGGAGTCCTACCAAATCAGAGTTATATGCAAGCATGGCACTAGCTGGGCCGCTGAATCATTGCTAGACGGAAACCCCCGTGGTGTCTGCGCACGAGTTCAATCAGGACGTTTACGGAGTACCCCAATAGGGAAATTCGCTGCTTTAGCTGCAGATGAGTTTCTTCATCGCGACGTTCAAGGTGGGCCACGACGTTTAGTCCAAAAGCCGATCTGCCCAATCGTCAGTCAGATGTGGTGCATGGAGACGGGTACAGAAAAGATCCTTTCCTCGTTAGCTCGAGGAGGAGAAATCTACAACCCATAATTGGCTGATTTTATCCTCTGGTTGTCGATCTGATGTTAAGCGAAGTACGGATAACAGCTGTCCTATACGCAATACGACGACAGGCCTTGGTATCATAAGTCCGGGTTTCAGATTGGCGGAATCGAGTGTACTGCACAGTAGACAAATGTAGCTTTTGATGAGCGTTTACCCTTTCGAGACTCACTTCAAACGTGATCCCCTGTCCACAAAGCTGGCAACTGGCAAGCTAACTAGAGCTATTCCAACTCCCTGAGCAGGATCGGACGGTCGGACCTATGTCTCAGCAGATAGATATCTCATGGTCTCACCTCACCTTTGCTGTAGGTTGAGGTTAGACCTATGGCCTCGCCTCTTAGGAGACATCAATTTTGAAGGGTATGTCTATAGCACATATTTATCGTTATTCCCAAATCCTGATGAAAGAACACGGTCCCCTTCGTCTCATTTCTTCTCTTACAAATATCTATATATCCTCATATTCTCTTCCGTCCTTCTCACAAGTCTCCTCCTTACAAGCCACGTATATCGTCTCACACGGCTCTACCGTTGTACTGCGGATCCTTATCCGCAGCCGATCTATGGCAGGACTTTCCATACTTTCATCCCCAGAGGCTGGGAAGGAGTCTTAGACTCAATGAGGATTCATTCCTCCACTGACTGATACATAACCTATCATACTACGGCGTATACATGTTGCATGGTCTTGCTGAGACTTGCATAACGGCACCAATTCCTAGGAAGCTATTGGGAGCCTGTTAGGGTCTAGATGCATATAATCCCTGTTGCACTATTGTATCCTCCCGATCCTCCCGCAGATAGGGTATCATACGACCGAAAATTATCTATCTACATGTTTGCGAACATGCAGTATCTTGAAATCGGAGGCTGTGCTGTTGTCTTTGGGGGGTAGACAATCGCCTCCCTATGTATATACTATTGTCCCTGAACCAGCCCTCAAAGATGTTACTTGCGTGCCATACACAGCCTGTATGGCTAGGCAGGGAGGGCCTTTAGGACCTGGCTTTCGTCTTCTCTAATTGCTACCTGAGATGAACTGATGGCCGGCTGCTAGATAGTGTGTCTGCGTACAGTGAAGTAAACTATAGAGTCTTAAAGGCATCCCTAACACCAAATGGGCTTTCCTTGTTTGGGTCTATATCGTCTATCTGAAAGAGAAGAAAGCGAAGGGGACTTTGAGGAATGCACTCAACCCACTGATCTAAAACAGGTGTCAAGACAACAATTTCTAGCTAGTAGAAATGATAGTGCAGCAGCATGTTCAACAGACTTTGCCTTGCATCTATGCCGGCAGAAGTCCCTCGTCGGCGAGACAGCGCCTTGAAGAGCGCGTCCTTGTTGCAACCAGGTGCTTTGGCTGACGTGGCTTGCAATGCATATGCCACTCGACCTCCAGAGGTATTTCGTCAAGACTTCATCTCCGATGGTGTCCCCTCTTGCAAGCTGCAAGTAGATGAATTCTGGTGGAGGTTACTTGAACTGGATTACTTATGAACGGCGCCTGGAACCCAAATATGACCTCAGCAGGCGTGTACCTGTGGATGCAGACTAGACGGGTCAAGATACCCATGTTCTCGGCCCCTTTCGCAAATGTGAAGGGGAATATTTATACGCCCGGCCAGCCAACTTAGACAGCCCATCGTCTAGCAGCCAAAAGCGGGCCTGTTTCAAGGCGTACAACCATGTTCCTGTTGCTGCCTTGTCCCAATTATGAACCTCCCCCCCAGCGATGCCCGCAGAAGCAACTCCACACGCCGTATTCCGGCTGAACAAATTTAGTGACTGGGAATCGACAGAATCTGAACTCCGTCCATGGTCTTGAAACCTGCGGCTCAAATGTGGTTGTAAATCACTAGTTGCTGACCAAGCAGTAAAAACCTGGACTCCTTGGAGGTCATCAATTCATCATGCCTGACGATGACCAACCGAAAAATATCTCGTTTCGAGTCATGCGTGGCTGGCGATGTGTATTTCGATGGGCATAATTCGCAGCCACAGTGTGTTGATTACTGCGATACAAGGTTTCCTGAAGAGTCAGCCTTGAATACTCATGGCTCGCCGCTATTATCTCACGGAACGTTACCGTCATCATCGTCCCTGTGACCGTCATCCGAGTAGGAGTGCACATCGTCGGTCTCGGTGTTAGGAATGGAAGCATATATCTAGCCCGTTTTGACGGACCACCTGCCTCAAGGTCTTCCCGGCTTTATCAGGCGCGGGCCTTGAGCTCTCATCCAATTCTTGGAGATAAAAAGGACAATACTTGCCGGGGTAATCCTCTGCTTCCCTTTCTCCTTTGCAGTACCAGCCTCGCATGTTCTCTTGGCCATTTCCGTGTCGTTTTGATGTGTCTACTATGTTGTATAGTGTCGATAGTAGTTGTAAGCTTTTTGCTGTGTATGAGCAATTGAACTGATCCAATTGCGTATCTTGTCTTCTTCTGTATTGATCTCCCGGGTAACAGCTATAATGGCAGTTCTGGTACCACAGATACGTTCAGTAACTAATTTTTCGGTACCCTTGTTGTCAAAAGGTACCTTGCGGGTTTGGCTCCGGCAGTCATGGCCCTCATATGGAAGGTATCAATTTCAACTCCGGATTGACCTGTGCTGGATGGAGATCTGGCCAATGTGGGTCATGGATCCCATGTTGAATGTGTCGCTGTCATCATGTCTGGCTACTTCCTCAATGTCCGTGTCAGTGATCTGGTTGACAAGGCACTTGGATGGTTCTGTACGGGGTATTTGAGTAACTGGTATTTTCATGGCTTTCATTGCTCTCTGTATTCGCGCATATGAGATTGGGGGTATTAGTTCACAAGGAACCAGGCGCAACGAGTTGTCGCTGATAGACTGCAGGAGGTGCACAGTCTCACTCTGCTCCTTCGGAATTCCAACCATACGAGGGTCCTCGTGCGGGTGAGCTGGTGGGTGATGAAGGGGGGGACAGGCGGGGCTTCTGGAGCGTGCCTGAAAGTCACTTGCTACAGGATATGAAAGGCACTGTAGATCAGTGCGTGATAAAGGTCCCATAGGATCATCTCTTTTGCTTGTAGTTCCATTGCCTTCAGAGGGGTGCCGCAATATGTTTCCAGACAGAGCTTTAGTCTGATTCCGCAATTTGAACGTATCAGACACTAGGAAGAGAAGAGAGCATGGACAATAAGCATAAGAAGGAGATGTAATCTGTTTTTATTCACTTCTCTTATGTCAAGTAATGTGAATGCTGATGCTCATCTCTATGACAGGATATTCACTGTTGGAAGCTGGGGCTGTTAGTTAATTTTCCGCATAAATAGAACAGTCATGTTAGCACTATCACACTCGGTGCACCATAAATCAGATATTAAGGTAAGCACAACCTGAGATATCAAGAATAAGAGGACCCCAGATTCAGGCCTCAGGCCAGAACATGGTATCCAAAAAGGCTAGTGGGGATCCCGTGATGCCAAGACCCGCTAACCAGCTTAGTAAGGTATGCGGGGTCCCCGGAGTAGAGATAAGGACAAGGTCCAGCTCCAAGTGGTACATATGACCTCGGAGAACATGTCCCCTCTTGAGAGCCAAGTTCATACGTCCATGCTGCTCTAAGAGGGGTTGGGCTGAAGTTCTGAATGCTATTTTGCGCCAGAAGAATAAGATTTTTCAAGTGTCTTAGTTGACACATCCTGATCTCCCTCCATCGTTAGCAGTTAGCACTATCTGTTATCATCATGGGTGACTGCGGGCCAGCTGTCCCATCCATCCACACTCAACTTGCGGGGCATCCTTCACTATCTTCTGTGGACTCGGATGATATCAACATTCTGGTCACTGGGTTTGGTGTAAGTTCGTCCGGCAGCTTCAGTTTTCCTCTCACTTCACCCCTTGTCACAAGTGCAGGCTCATACTGACTAACTACTAGCCGTTCAAGACTAACCTCGTCAATGCCTCGTACTTGATCGCCTCATCCCTTCCTCCTTCCTTCGCCTTTACTGTTCCACAAAGTTCATCCGCGTCCCCAGAGGGACCCACTACGACTCATCGAGTATTCATCCATGTCCATCCGAACCCTATCCCCGTCGCTTATTCGACGGTCCAATCAACCGTCCCTTCCATAGTCGATGATTATGCCAAAACACACGGCGGTCGACGACCAGATATTGTCATACACATGGGCATTGCAGCAACAAGACAATACTATTCCGTCGAGACAAGGGCACACCGAGACTCGTATCTCATGTCAGATATCGAAGGGCGCTCGGGTTACGAAGCTGGAGAGAAACGATGGAGAGAGCTTGACCTGCCTCCTGTGCTGCAGGCGGGCAGATCCGCCGATCCCCTATCTATCTCGGACATTGCAGAAAAAACACATGATCGAGAGGTAACTCCATCGTCGCAAGCTGTACGGTCTTCCTGGAATCCACATCCACCGAACGACAAACTCCTCAATGTATGGAAGTCATTTGCTCCGGGGCCCGACGTCCGGCTCTCAGAAGATGCGGGACGTTATCTCTGCGAATTCATCTTCTACACCAGTCTGGCGCATGCCTTTAAACAGGGCCAGGACCGGAATGTGGTGTTCTTGCATGTCCCTGGTGGCTATAATGATCAAGCTGTCCAGACCGGGCGAGAGGTTACCATTGCATTAATCAAGGCTCTGATCGCATGCTGGGCGGACAGGAAGATGTAATTGCATGGTGATAGGGGATTAGTACATTCATGATTTGCATGACTTATACGCATAGCTTGGACGTTAGATGATGACACATCTAGTTTATCGATCTAGTTAATCATTGATAGTTTCTAATGTTTCTTCGGTAATCAGCCGAGGTTCACGATTACATTTATCCGAATGGTCCAGCTCCCCAACGAATGCCGATATTTGTTCCTGCGATGACAGGAGTGTAGTGCACTAGGACAAACGATAGAGCTTCCATATGATCATCAGCAATGTTAACGGCCAAGCAAGCATGACCTGACATGTCGAGACGATAAGAAGAGTAAAAATAAGGCGGCAGATTCCGGCAGAATTTCTGTATATTTTCTTATCAATCCATGGAAATCTAGATATCCATGCACAACATAACAACAGAGGAGGAAGATTCAAGTATCTGAGTGACTGACAACAAGACAGGCGAAAGATGGACTTCTCCTCTAAAGTCCTCCCAGTAGCCGCCCTCGGGGTGCTCCTTGTGGTCCTCACCCCAAGAGTCATAAAATGGGCAAGCACCAACAGATTCAGTCTACTCCAAGCCCTCAGGCTCCAAAAAGAGATCACCAGCGAGATCGTCTCTCTACGCATCTACCCCATCAAGTCCTGCCGCGGGATTGAACTCCCCAGAACCACTCTCCGCCTGCACGGCCTAGACCTCGACCGACAATGGATGTTCGTAGACGCCAAAACCCACGAGTTCCTCACCATCCGCCAAATCCCCCAAATGACACTGATCAACACCGGCCTCAGCGACGACGGCACCTCCCTCCTGCTGAGCATCGCCGGAACCACAGAAAAAATCCAAATCCCCGCCCGCCCAGACGCCGCCTGGCTAGCGGCCCACACCACCCTCGCCCAGGTCAAGGTCTGGGACACGCTGACAGACGGACACCTCTACGGAGACGCCGTCAACGCCCCGTTCGCCAGGTTCCTGCAGCGCGATGTCTGTCTAGTCTACAAGGGCCCCACGCCGCGCATCCTGCAGGGGAACGGTGACCCGCGCCTCCTGGGCCGGCAGCAGAGCACAAACTTCCCCGACGTGCATCCCGTGCAGATTGCCTCCGAGGCGTCCCTGGCGGAGCTGAACCAGAGGTTGCGGCGGAAGGGTGTGCAGCCGATTACCGTTGAGCGGTTCAGGCCGAATATCATCGTCCGGGGGACGGTGCCTTGGGCGGAGGACTCGTGGAAGACGGTCCGGATTGGGTCCGAGCTGGACTTGGATGTTGTGGCGCGCTGTGCGCGGTGCCAGGTGCCGAATGTTAATCCGGATACGGCGGAGAAGCATAAGCGGGAGCCGTGGGATACGCTGATGACGTACCGCCGGGTGGATGAGGGGATCAAGTATAAGCCCTGCTTTGGGATGTTGAGTGCGCCGCGGAATGAGGGGGTTGTTGAGGTGGGGATGAAGCTTGAGGTGTTGGAGGAGACGACGCAGCATCGGTATATTAAAGGATTTTGAGTAGTAGCATCTACAATCAAGTATTTTGCATCATGTGTACTGTACACTATGTCTATGAGATATCTAGGTAGCTACCTAATTCTTCATCTGCTTGCTGGCAGAAACACACCAGTTGTTCCAGTCCGAGAAAAACTGAGGCTGGACATGGCATTTCTTGCTGAGAAGCTGCTCCTTGCGTGTAGCCGCATACACATCCACCACATCCGCGATAGCGTTCTTGTCGTGCGCCACCAGCACCTTGACCACCAACAGGCTCGCCTGGCTGCACGCCGAAGCATGCGCCGGCGGACCACTATGCGTCGCCTCGGCGTGGATGGTCTTCAACAGCTCCCACACCGGCTCAGCCGAGTCCAGCGAAGGAAGTGCACTGCCCTTGCACAACTTGGTATACTCGCGGAGCACGCCGCTCGCCTTGTTGGCTAGCTGCTTGACGGTCGACTTGCGGGTGAGACGCAGCAGGGGGAGAAGGAGGTCAAGAGCGAGAACTTTCGAGTGGCATTTCTTGACGTAGATCTCCAGTAGGTCGAGGACGCGGTTCTTGAAGTTGACCATGTTCTCCTTGGCGTCCTTCTTGTCTTTCTTCTGGCCCAGGGCGTCCCGGCGCGCGCGGAACACTTTGACTAGCTGCTCGTCGATCTGCTCCATCTCGTCGTCGTTCATGTCTGCGTCGGAGTCATCGGACTGTTCGTTGAGGTCTTGGTCGGCGCGGTGCGTGCCCAGTGCTTCGGCGAGCTTGGCTTCGAAGGCGGCCATTTCTTCTTCATTTTCGCCTTCGTCGGATGCGGCTTCGTCGTCGTCGTCCCCTTCCTCCTCGTCCGAGTTCTTTGCGTCGATGACTTCGACGTCGCTGTCGTCTTCGTCGACGTCCATCATCTCTTCGTCCTCTTCGTCATCCTGCTGCTCGAACATTTCTTGCTGACCAGCAAGACTTTCCTTGGCCTCCAGAATCTAATATGCGGTTAGCATGGAACTAGATCTCAGGAGCGAGTGGACATACAGATACAAGGGACTCCAGGCCATTCTCGGTGACCTTGTCAGCAAAAGCGCTGAATACCTGCTCACTCATACGGCGGAAGAGTTGCGACAGCTTCGACGCGAAACTCAGAAGAATCTCCACCAGCGCATCAGAAGCATCGGAGGCTTCCTCGTCTTTTGATTTCTTGTCGCCCAGAAACTTGGTATAGCAGAAATCAAGCTCGTCAAGCATGGACACTGCATCGGCATCACCATTGTACACTTGCAGGATTGTCATCGAATACAGAAGCTTGAACGCCTCGACGCCTGAGACCTCATTCTTTTCCTGTTTCAGTCAGTAAAAAGTAGCTGACGGAAATGTCGTAATACTCACCATGCTGGACAGCTTCTTCAAAGACTTGAAAGCAGTCTTGACCGAGTCACGCAGAGTCTCGTCCATGTTGATAATAAACTTGCCATACTCCTCCGACTTGGCGGCGTCGCGGATCTTCTTTACAACAGCGTACGGGAGGGTAGTGGCATACTTTGGGTTGGCAATAAGACTGTTCAGACACGAGCTGATTCTGTTCCGGAAAAGCTCCTGGCTCTGTTGAGTCAAGGCCGGCTGAACAGCCGCATCGTCCTTGGGCATGAAATAGCCGAACCGCACAAATGTGAACAGAATCTGCTCCAGAACTGCTTGCAGGCCATCCTGAGACTCGTCGCTGGCCGAAGCTCGGGATCTCACGATGGACAAGAGCAGACCGGCAAGAGACTGCCGGCTTGCTGCTGCCGCTTTGGCATCGTCCGCCCCCCGGCTCGCGATGAGCTTCTCAAAGAAAGGTACGATCTGCTTCAGTGCGTCGAGGTTTGCCTCGACAACGATCTTTTCGATCGTCTTCGTCTTGGTGGCTTGGTCGAAGTTGACGGAACCGGCTGAGCCCATGAGCCCGATGACAGACGCCGCGGCGAATTCGGGATCCTTTGCGACGCGGGCCTGGATTGATTTGGCGGCCTTGACGGCCATCCGGTGCAGGTATCGGTCCTCGACGGCGAGCTGGTTCGTCAGGCACCTAACGAGGTTCTTGGTGAATACAACAGAAGCCAGCTGCAGGGGGCATTCATTGAGGACTTTGATGAAGACGAGGAAGCCCCAGTACTTGCGTTCCTCGGACGAGGATGAGGCGAACAGGCCGTCTAATGACTTGTTAGATGCAATCCCTCGGAAGACGACAAAACAAAAGAAAAAAACTTGAACTTACTGTCAACAACTTCCGTCCAGAACTCAGCAAAGCTCAAACGAGACGACTGCTTGGCTGACACGTCAGCAAGCTGCCTGATAACAGCATCCCAAGCAAAGTGCAACTTGGAGCTCCACACTCCAGTTGACTTGGGATTATTCCCCTGGCTTCCCGCCTCGGAGTCAGCAGCCGAGGAATCCTTCATGACCTTGGCAAGCTGGGTCCTCTCCCGTGAATCCAACGGGTCATCGTGTTTCCAGACTTTGCCAGGGAACTCAGCCTTGGGGTAAGCTTCCTTGGCCGCCAGCCAGATCGAGACTCCCTCCGGCGTACGAGCGAGATCGTTCGCACAGAGCCGCTCCAGCGCGACCTCCACATACTTAGCAGCAGCCTTTTGCGAAGCAAGATCAAAAACGCAGCGGTAGATAATCCATCCGCACTCCTCTCTAATCCACGGCTTCTTCTTCGCGAGATCAAACACCAAATCCAAAAGCTTGGTCCACTCTGCCGGGGGCACCTCGCCCTTGAACAGAATCGACGACTTGACAATAGCTTCCGCTCCAAACAGCCGTCCAAAGTGGTGATCTCTTTGTTCCTGCGACAACAGTCAGCAAAGCAAGTTTTCAACACGCAGAATCAACCCAACTGACCTGTCCCGTCTCGCTCCCCGACGCATTAGACTGCGCCTCCCAGATACCCACAACAGCCGGGATCGTGATGTCCGACTCTTCTCGCTGTGCCGCAAAAATCTGCGTCAGGATCTCAGTCAAGGCAATCGAAAAGCCAATCCTCGCAGCCTTGCGGCTACTGCACAGCCCGCGGAAAAGTCTCTGCAGCGCCTTTCGGATCTGCTCATCAGTAGGCTTCTTGTCCGGCGTGAACTGCGACACAAGAGCCTGCGCTGCCTTTAGCCGGATCTCGTCCTTTTCATTCGCGAGGTCCTCGTAGATCTCGACGAGTTTGGTGTCGATGTTGACTGGCTCGCGCCGCCGCTTCTTGGAGCTGGCGTGGGTGTGCGCCATGATTACTTGCTTTCTTTGCTTTTACGCCCGAATATGTATCTGATGTATGTTACTGAGACCCAAGCACACAGATTTCAGGGCGGTAGCTGCTTGTTTTGAATGCAGCGATTGGGTGGTGGTGATATGCTGCGACAGCAGAAAATTTATGAGGTTGTATACCAAATCGGGTTAGCGCCGTTTGCTGAAGGCAACGGATTGCCGCTTTGGGAGTTTCTTGCAAACGGACGAGATACTCTGGATAACTTCTATTGAATAAATTAGAGACGAGTGTCGCTAGAAGAGGTGATCTTGCTATGGCAT